TTATGTTAATCACCATACATTACATCATTAGTTTTTGATGTAGTGTTCCATGATTCATAATTTGCGTATAACACCCAGTGCTCCATGCAATACATGCCCTCTTTAATACCCATCAGCAAGCTAACCCATCCCCCCACCCCCTCCCCTCTAGAACCCTCAGTTTGTTTCTCATGGTTCATCTCCCTTGAATAAAGTTTTTAATTCAAAACTTAATGTTTTTAGATTCTTGAACCCTATTTGATATCATTGATACCTTGAGATATTGCAGATTTAGAACTAGAAATATTTGTATTAATGTTCCACAGAAATGTGCTATACTTTGTTGCTCACTAATAATGAACAATACAGATTTTATCTGGTTTTGTGCTAACTATTACTGAATTATATGTCAATAGTGCTTTTTTTGTTTTTAAATGTGAATCTGACCCTGATTGTCCTATAAATTCATGGGTCTCTGAAAACGCTATTTTTTACTGGATGGTCCTTAAATTTTCAAGACAACTTAACATGTGTAGCTCAAGCAGATAGTGTATCCTTTTAGCATAAAGGAGAAGTTTCTGTGATGGGCAGACTCTTAGTAGTGATCCTGTTTTTGCTGTGTGATCCTGTGAGATTTTGGAGTAGACCAGACAGTGGATCACACCTAATGACCGGCTCAGATGAGACTTTTTAGGTTGCAACAGCGATCATAAGCTCGTGCCCCATTCTTTGGTGGGCTGTTGAAGCTTCCTCCAGCATATTCTTGTTCCTATTTCTGCAGGTACTCTGATTGTGAAAAATTCCTCTCTGATCAGCAATTGATAAAACAGCAAGGAGGCTAGACAGCACAGAAGAGAGGGCACTTAGAGAACATTGTGATTGCAACCTGATGGCCTTGATGTGTTACATTGTCTTTTCAGGATAATACCCATTTTATGAAGAGTATTTTATGCTTTTTGGTAATAAGACTTGGGTGAATATTCTCATTTGATGCTCTCAGTAGCTCTGAGAGGCAGGAATTAATTTCATTAGGAAATTGTGTTACGGATGACAGTGATCTCTCTTTCCTACAGGGTGGCTTAAAACATGGATTGATAATAGATAGTAGTTGAGATTGAATGCGGGGGGATTTATTTTCTGGAAACTGATAGTCTAGGGTAGGGGTCAGCAAACTATGGCCCGCAGGTAAATCTGGCCTGCCACCTGTTTTTGCCTGGCCTGTGAACTGATAGTGGTTTTAACATTTTTAAATGGTTGAAAAAAAAAGAAAAGTACTGTGACATGTGCAAATTATATAAAATTCAAGTTTCAGTGTCCATAAATAAAGTTTTATTGGAACACAGTCATACTTATTTGCTTACCTATCTGTGGTTCCTTTCTCTCTCCAAAGGTGGAGGTGAGTAGTTGTGACAAAATATTTATTTATTTATTATCTGGCCCTTTACAGAAAAGGCTTGCTGATTCCTGGTCTAGGGTCATTTTCTATCTTCTAAGTTTTCATATTGTACAGAGATATCCCAGGCACCTTACCTATTCTCAACATGAATATACTTTTAATACATTTATTTTTAATCCATCTCCTATTATATGTCTTGCTTTTTAGACTTCCATTGTAATTATCTAATTTCTGTTCATCACAGATAATTTATATCTGATGACTTATCATGGTTTAGAACTTGGCTGGTTAGATTTAAGTGTTTCCAGTTTTTTAGCAGTTCCACAGTAATAATGAAAAAGGGCCTCGCTCATGTCTGTATTATGTGTGGTTTCATTCTTATGTGTCCTTAGCTCTATTTAGAAGGGCTCTGCCTGGTATTTTGCATCTTGTTTTCATTCTGGTATATTGTTTGTGTTGGTAACCATTTATTCCCCAAAAAGAACATTTTATTTGCTTGTCCTAGTGACTCCCATTTTACCTTATTACCTCTTTGCCTAACATGAAATAGCAGTAGGCAAAGCTTTGCACGTAGCATCATAATTCTTTCCTTAAATGAGAAATCCTCAGCGAGAAGAGAATGGTGTTTTTCTGAAACATATTCTGCCATCAGGATTTTGGGATCTAGCTTTCATTTACTATCAGATAGAGATTAATATTAGTAACTTTTAAGAGTGCAATTAGGGAACAACTAAGATTTTCAAAGTGCTTCAACACATGTTATCCAGTCAATGCACACAGTGATTCTGTGAGCTAGGTAAGAGTGGCATCTGAGTGGTAGGGCCTCTGACTCCAAATGGCATTTCCATTATTCGTTTTCACACTGTTGTAGAAAAATAAGTGCCCTTTGAATAGCTAAGGAGAGCTTATCTCATAAGATAAGATCTCATAAGATCTGCTTATCTTAAGCAGATCCTGTAAGAAATGTGTTCCGTCCAGTGGTGAGAATCAAGGATGTGGAAATACAGGCCTTTAAGGACTTCCTAAGATTAGCTTATTCCCAGCATAGATCAGAGTTTGTAGACTTGCTTAGCTTTTCAGGAGATAGCAGCATGAGCATGATACTGAATGGATTTACTGTAGTCACAGATGATCTCCTTTCTAATATGGAAAACTTGCCAGCGTTTAATTCAGATACCTTTTTGGAGGTCTTCAACTTCTCCACCTCTGTCTTGGTTGTCATCTCCCATTCCTGCTGCTTTGACTGTGATGGCTCTTTCTTAGACAGGTTTTCACTTGGCTTCCTTTCCTTCTAGGGGTACCAGTTTGAGGAGGAGAACCCCCTGCGTGACCACCCCCAGCCTTATGAGGAGGGGCTCCGGCGACTTCAGGAGGGGGACCTGCCAAATGCTGTGCTGCTCTTTGAGGCAGCTGTGCAGCAGGATCCTAAGCACATGGAAGTGAGTGACTCATTACTCTGACTTCATATTAGAGACGGCTTCCATCAGTTTTGAGGGAAGCCCCACAGAGTAGTGCAGATAGATTAGGGCCTGGGTGATGGCCTGGGGTGGGGGAGTAAGAGTGAGATGGTGAGTGGAAGAAGCCAGAGGAAGGGAGGTTGGAAAGGTGAAGGCAGGAGTAATGGAATCTGACACCTTCTCTCTAGGCTTGGCAGTATCTGGGTACCACCCAAGCAGAGAATGAACAAGAACTATTAGCCATCAGTGCACTGCGGAAGTGAGTACATGAAAGGTGGGGTGAGGTGGTTCCCGGGCTCTCTAAATAGCCTTTAGAATGATAGGATTCCAAACCCAGATCCTTGTCTTCTTTCTGATCACTAGCAAGAGTGTTTTCTTGTGGTGAAGCTCTTAAGGTTTGGAGTGAATTGGAGATATCTGGTTCCATTCCTCATCAGCTTTTAATTTTATATGTGGGACCCTCACTGATTCCTTGGCTGCTAAAACATTCCCCTTCTCATATCTGTAATTTTTTTCAGTAACTTCCATGTAGAGGATTCCTCTGTATCTTTAATCTGAGGGATTTGGCAGGTGAGGCCGTTGTGACTCTGCATTCCATACCAGCTCTGCCCACCTCTGTCCAAACAGGTGTCTGGAGCTAAAGCCTGATAACCGGACGGCACTGATGGCGCTGGCTGTGAGCTTCACCAATGAGTCCCTGCAGCGACAGGCCTGTGAAACCCTGCGAGACTGGCTGCGCTACACACCGGCCTATGCCCATCTGGTCACGCGCGGTGAAGAAGGGGCTGGGGGGCCAGGACAGGGCCCCAGCAAGCGCATCCTGGGGTCTCTGTTGTCTGAGTGAGTGAAGGATTCCTGGTAACCTGAGTTGCAGTAGGCAGAGGGCCTTGATTTTGGAAGCTTGGATGGATTGAGACTCAAGGACCTCAGAGTGGGATGGGAAACCCAGGATGCATGTGAAGGAGGTCTGCATTCTATGGTGCAGTGCTGGGATGAAATAGAAAAAACACGTTTCTAAAGTGAAATTTGAGAGTAGGAGGATGACTGATAGATTGATGGATCTTGGGGATATGAGTGACTAATTAAGGATTTGTTTTGGAAGGGTAGGAATATAGACACATCCATCCACCTATTTTTGCATTTTTTTTCTTTCCTATTTATGCAGCTCCCTATTTCTTGAAGTGAAAGAGCTCTTCCTGGCTGCTGTACGCCTGGACCCCACATCCATTGACCCGGATGTGCAGTGTGGCTTGGGAGTCCTTTTCAACCTGAGCGGGGAGTATGACAAGGCGGTGGACTGTTTCACAGCTGCCCTCAGCGTTCGTCCCAATGTGAGCCTCAGGGGAGGAACAGAAATAGGACGTGATTGCATCTTATTGAAGGATCATTTGTTGGGACCTTCGGGGTCCTGGGAGCTTCCGTTCCATATACTGATTGCCTTGGGAGAATTGGGCAAAGAAGGCTGGGAGTACAGGGTCACCTGGACTGGACGGCGGGGAGTCTGCATGACACGAGAGCAGTTACACTGTGTCACGCAATGAACAGCTGAGGAGAAAGGAAGGGATAGTAACATGTATTAGCTCAACAGAGTGGTGACCTGGGGAGGAATGGGTGGAATTGGATCGGAGCCTGGCTCTTGTCTCTAACCCTTCTTCATCTCTGTTCCAGGACTATTTGCTGTGGAATAAGCTAGGGGCCACCCTGGCCAACGGAAACCAGAGTGAAGAAGCAGTAGCTGCGTACCGTCGGGCCCTCGAGCTACAGCCTGGCTATATACGGTCCCGCTATAACTTGGGCATCAGCTGCATCAATCTTGGAGCTCACCGGTGAGAGCGTCTATTGAGTAATTAACGAATGAACTCTTTCTCCCTGCCTTTGACCCTAGCTCCTCATTCTCTGATCCTCTCTTTGACTAACTGGCCCCAGCTATCTCCCCATGCCAGCTGACCTGCCTCCTTCCAGTAATGTTCTGCTCACCAGCTCTCATTCTTCTTCCCAACAGGGAGGCTGTGGAGCACTTTTTGGAGGCCCTGAACATGCAGAGGAAAAGCCGAGGCCCTCGGGGTGAAGGGGGCGCCATGTCGGAGAATATCTGGAGCACCCTGCGTTTGGCATTGTCCATGTTAGGCCAGAGTGATGCCTATGGGGCAGCCGATGCCCGGGATCTGCCCACCCTCCTAGCTATGTTTGGCCTGCCCCAGTGACAGTGGGATGGGCTGCCCTGTGAGTGTCTGCTTGGAGGGGTCCCTGCTCTGGATGTGACTCCCTCTCCCCAAATGGGCCTACTAAGGGGGTGGGCTGATGACCACAAGCAGCGTGGCCTCTCAGGAGCTGCCTCAACATAGGGGTGGGTGGTCTGTGTTCTTCCTACATCACTGTAGGAAAATGAGCTGTGTTGTCTCTGAGTCCCTTGGTAATTCAAGGGTTGGACAGCCAGCTACAGATCTCTCTGCTCATCATGCCCTTTCTTGGTGCTGCTTTTTGGGTAGGACCCAAAGATATAGGGTAACTGTTGTCATCAGCTGCCATTTCTGATAGGGTCTACCACATTTGTAATGTCTGTCCTTCTCCCACTTACTGGGAACTGATGATAGTACAGCTTTCTTGGGCATTGTGTGTGGCAGGTTCTTCTAACGTGCACCTCTGTGATGACTGTGTCTGGGATGGGATGTTAGGAGTTGGCCTGTTGGGTTGAAATGTTGCTTTGGCTCAGCAGAGCTGAGTTTTGATAGGGGTCCTCATAGTTCTCTTGCTCCTGGACCCATCCTGGCTGTAGCTCAGAGTCTTTGGGTACAATGCTGCATGCGCTATTGCTGGCATCATTATTGAGGGGTCCTTAGGAGTTGCTGGGGTGGTTGTACAGAGTGCTTGTGTGGGGGGTAGGAGGATGGCATATTTGTGGAATGAACCTAGAAGGGACCAGATAGGGTCAGATTAAGGGCTCTGTTTTGGGGCCTTTGGTGGGAGGACAGAGCAGGTGGGCTGGGGGTGTGGTGAGTGCAGCCAGCCGTCCTCTTAGAAAGGCCTGCGAGTAGGAATTGAGTTAACTCTTCTAGAAAGTTGGTTCAGAAATGACAGTCTTGCCAAATTCCTAGCAAAGAGGCAGTTCAGTATTACCATAAGCCTTTTGTTGTACTTCTTGAAATGTTTCTAGGGGAAAGCATTGAAAAATCCCCTTCCCCCATATTACCTCCACAAAGTGAAGATTGAGGGAGCAGCTTGGATTCTTCTCAACTGTCCCGTGCATGGGGAGATACACCAACCCCCAGAAATGACTGCTAAGCCTCTTGCCTTGTCTTCAGTAGCTAATGATCAGAGAGATTTTTTTTAAACTACCATGGTCCCAAGGTTCCATCCTGAAATTTATTTTTCTTTGTATGAATATGTGTAAATGATTTAAAAATAAAACTGTATGAATAAAATTTGTATGAAGAATCAATGGAACTGACATGGGTGTGAGTTCTGTCAGGTGTGAAGTTGGGGTGTAGGAGGTGGGTTGGTGTTTGGAGGATTGGTATTTAACGGTTTTCCTCTTCTCTCTTCATTCTCACATTTGGTATATTGATTACCCATCCATCCATCCAGTAATATTGAGCACCTAATATATGACTGGGTCTGTGAATAAGATGGACAAGGTCCCTGTGTTCTTGGAACTTAAAGTTTAGCAGGAGAGACCACTGGTCAAAATCATGTATTTTTCATACTTGTGATAATACTGTAAAGGGAAATAATGGTGTGTGATATAATTGGTATTGTTTTCATTCTGAATTACGGTAGTTTTTCCAATGCTTGTGCTTTCTAAAAGTTTTCATCTGGCTCTCCCTGGTTTTATTAGGAACCGTATCAAGAGTCATATAAAGATGGGTATTGATCCCGGGGAATTTTTTTTTTTTTTTTAGAGAGAGAGTGCAAGCAGGAGGGAGGGGCGGAGGGAGAGGGAGAGAGAGAATCTTAAGCAGGCTCCACGCTCAGCATGGAGTCTGACGTGGGGCTTGATCTCGTAACCCTGAGATCATGACCTGAGCCGAAACCAAGAGTCGGATGCTTAGCCCACTGAGCCACCAGGTGCCCCTATCCTGGGGAAAAATTTTAAAATATAAACAAGTACTTATATTTGGAGATAAATGTCCATGGCCATGTTAGAATTGAATTAAAAAAAATGTCTAAAAGGGAATTAGTAAATTATCCAGATAGTGAAATATTTAGCTATTCCATTTATAGGACAATTTTTAATGACAATAAATGCTAACAATGAGAAAGAAAAGGTTGGCAAACTATTTACAGGTTGTCTCAAGAAAAACATGCAATGAAAAGAGACTAGGGAAATACCCCATTATGCTAAAAGTGTGATCATGAGTGATTTTTTTCTCCTGCTTTGTCATATTTCTCTGTAATTTTCAATTTTTCTTAGTGCATGGGTAATAGTTTCATAGAAAAACCCAACAAAACACCATGGGGGCGGGGGCGCCTGGGTGGCTCAGTCGTTAAGCGTCTGCCTTC